TCTCTTTTCCATCTGGTTGGTTCAGGGTTTCCATTAAATCATGAATTCTTGTTTTTCCGAAGTACTATACTGTTAAATTGAAACCAATTTTTAGATATAATTGCCATTCAACTATATTATACAACTTCTGTATATGTACAATACTGAGTACATGTACATTATTTTGTACATGTACAATATTGAGTAATTTGTATAATTACTGAGTTTAATAATCCTGTTGACTACAGGAAAGGATTGGTGGTTGGCTGACTTTCTTATTCAGTATCCCACATACCATCTAATCATGGAGGTATAGTGCCTGTTTCATTTGATGCAATTAAAAAAACAAATTTGACTGACTGACCTATTTCCCACTTAGGGAATATTGTGATATGGACTATATAGTACTGTCAGTTTGTTTTTATATGATAACTTCCTTCCTCTCCACCCCTCACATTAGCTGAAGTGTGTCTGCATATCCATGCTTCTTGCTTCATCAGTTTTGCTCCCCAGCTAATAAATTCAGATGTTCACAGAGGTTTAGGTTGATCAGATGGGTTGTTTAAAACTTCTGGCAGCATCTTTTGCAATTGAAAAAAAAATCACCTTTTATTTTTCAGTTATAGTTGACATATAATATATTAGTTTCAGATATACACCCCAGTGATTAGACATTATATAGCTTACTAAGTGATCATCCTGATAAATCTAGTACCCATCTGACAGCATACATGGTTATTAGAATAGTATTGTCTATATTCCCTATGCTGTCTTTACATCCCTATGACTATTCTGTAACAACTAATTTGTACTTCTTAATCCCTTCACCTTTCTCACCCATCCCCCCAACCCCCCTCCCATCTGGCAACCATCAAAATGTTCTCTGTATCTATGAATCTGTTTCTGTTCTGCTTGTTTGTTTTGTTTTTTATATTCATTTGTTGATAGACATGTATTTATTGCCAATTTATTGTTCATATTTTTTATCTTTTCCCCCTCTTCCTCCTCTTTTTCCTCCTCCTCTCTTCTTAAAGAAGACCCTTTTTAGCTTTTCATGTAATATGAGTTTGGTGGTGATGAACTCCTTTAGCTTTTCCTTGTCTGGGAAGCTCTTTATGTGTCCTTTGATTCTAAATGATAGCTTTGCTGAGTAATCTTGGTTGTAGGTCCTTGCTTTTCATCCCTTTGAATATTTCTTGCCACTCCCTTCTGGCCTGCAAAGTTTCTATTAGAAATCAGTTGATAGTCTTATGGGAGCTCCCTTGTACGTAACTAATTGCTTTTCTCTTGCTACTTTTAAGATTCTCTGTCTTTAACTTTTGGCATTTTAATTATGATGTGTCTTGGTGTGGGCCTCTTTGGGTTCATCTTATTTAGGACTCTCTGTGCTTCCTGGACTTGTACGTCTATTTCCTTCACCAGATTAGGGAAATTTTCTGTTAATATTTTTTTCAAAAAGGTTTTCAATTTCTTGCGCTCTCTCTTCTCGTTCTTGCAACCCCATGATGTGAAAGTTGATATGTGTAAAGTTGTCCCAAAGGCTCCTTACACTATCTTCATTTTTTTAATTCTATTTTTCTTTTGCTGTTCGAATTGGGTGTTTTATGCTTCATTATATTCTGAATTGCTGTTTTGATTCTTGGCTTCATATACTCTACTGTTGATTCCCTGTATATTATTCTTCATTTGAGTTACTGTATTCTTCATTTCTTACTGGTTCTTTTTTATGGTTTCTGTGTCCTTTTTTATGCTGTTGAAGTTCTCTCTAAGTTCATCTACTGCTTCCCTAAGTTCCGTGAGCATCCTATAACCAGTGCTTTGAACTCTGCATCTAGTAGATTGCTTGTCTCCATTTTGTTTAATTCTTTTCCTGGAGTTTTATTCTGTTCTTTCATTTGGGACATGTGTTGTGTGT